ACCAAAATGTTTTGTGGACAACCAGGTTTTGTCAACAGGTTGTCCGCTGGACAACCTGAAAAATATCTTTATGTCTACCCCTGTAAGCTGAGGTTCTTCTTCCATGAAGCAGCTCTGTTGTCCTCCATCCATATTTTCAGTTCCAGGCTGAGTCATTTCTACCTTCTCCTCTCTGTCAACGCTCTCTGGTTTCATTTAAAAGAGCCGATCATCAGATATTGTCCAAGATTAACTTTCAGGGTGGATATAGCTCGCTAGCAGCCTCGCACCGAGGACCTATCCACATCATCATTTACCCAGAATGCTTTGCGTGTAAATAAAATGGCTCTGTCCATGTTAAAATATATTCTTAAAAATTTACAAAACTGAACAGCCTACAGCATTTTTACAGTCCTTATTTTACAGTTAAAATAAATATTTATCAAATAAATTCTAATACAACTAATCAGGGATCCCTTTAAAAAGACAAAGAATGAACTTTGTCCACACCACAAATGCTAAAAACAGAGTGAGCAGGATGAATAATGATTTTCAGGTCCTATGAGTATTTGACTGTTTAAACTCTGAAAATCTGAACTAATCTCATATTACATTATGACACCTTCTAGATCAAGTCAGGCTGGTTCTGTCACCGACTAAAAATAAAAGGTAATCTAGGTGTACCAGCCCTTTGAATAATTTTTAACTAACGGTCAAATAAAAACCTGCACGTTAAAGAGGAAACACCTCATTTCTCTCAACTGAAACTCAGTTGTTCGTTTTAGTATTTTCACCCTGRACTGGCATCGAGGTGATGACAAAAGACCTCAGAGTTTGATCAAAATCCCAGCAAAGTTGTTGGAGGTGTAAATGTGGAAACCTAAAGGGAACCCCACTTAAAGATCTGATGGGATGAAAAACTTAAAAAAGGGGTGTTAATATGACGTGGACAGCCATGTGCTACCTGTTTCTGAACTGATGGTTTGTGGTTGCGTAGTGGGTGCTGGGTTGCTGAAGGAGTGGGCGTGGACAGGGGCGCAGGGGATCTGATGATGGACCGCAGCCGACTGGAGCTGCGAGAGTCGGGGGTCCTGCCACGTGGTTGTCTTCTGCAGGTGACTGAAAAGACACAACAAGTCTAAACGCATCGGCATCTGTTAAACTACTGGAACCTGACGGGTAAGGAGCGCTTTCCCTCAGACCTGCTTTACCTGTACTACCAGACGCACTCATGGATTCACACTCATGCAGACAAAACGGGACAGATTGTGCTGCTGTGAGCCTCAGTGTGTCTGACAGGAGAGTCAGCCAGCAGGAAACGTGTTTCTCATCGAGGTGAAACCAAACAGGTGGCAGAACTAGTTGAGCCATTTCCTGCTTGCATGCAATTAATGAGTTTTAATCCCAGTCAGGGTTCCTACAGTTTAAGGCAAGTTAAATTTAAGACTTTTCAATGCAAAATGAAATTAAATTTAAGAACAATTTCCCAATAAACACAAAGGACAAAAAAATAAATTGGTTGAAGT